AGGGTCTGGCAGCACAAGAAAATTCCAAAACAATTTTTAAAGACTATGGAGATTGGCGCTATTATTTTTAAGATATAAAAATAAAGTAACTGCTATCTACAGAATACCTGCTGCATGCCAGATAATGTTCTAGTTTCTTTACTTGTATCATGTTGATAACTTCAAAATAGGTACATCTCATTTGTGAGGAAACTTTCTTTCTCAAATGAACTTGCTCTCTGAATGGCAAGTCAGAAGTAGTCCTGCCAGAGACAAATGAGCTGTAGGTAGGCTTGTGGGGATTCAGAAACAATAAGCTTTGTAAAGGCATTTAGGCTGAGAGGCAGCAGTTCCTGGCACCCTGATTCTATGCAATGGAAAGAAGGAGCGTAATCTGTCACATGTACTATGTGCCAGATGCTCTAATAAACATTTATACATATAACTTAAATATCAACAATCCTGCATGATAAGAATCACAACTCCTGGTTTTACAGATGGGAACTGGAGACCCAGAGAAGTTCCCAAGAGATCCTATTGCTAGTACGTGTTAGCGCCAGGACTGGAATCCAGGACAGTCTGATTACAAATTTCATCAACCTGTATCATGCTATTCTCCCCAATGCCAATAATTTTTGCTTACTTCCACTTATGTTATTCAAATTCATTTTGTCTTTTATTTCCAAGAGAGTGCTCACATTGAGAACCTGCAGAACCAACAGACTTTCACAGCTGGGCAGGGCACTAAGACAGCAGGTAGTTAATCCTTTCACTTGGGCTGTCCTAAGCCTATTAAGGTTGTGTGAACACCCAAGGCTGTACCACCAGCTAATGGCACATCGTATCTCCGACTTGTGGCTCAGGGGTTCCTTCATTAAGACCATTAATTATACAAGAGTGAAAAAGAAAAAAGCAATTCTGATAAACATAATAACAACCCTCAAATTAGATTTTCTTAGTAAAATTAAAAACAGTACCAGAACCACCGTGTGATTATTAAAATGAATGCATAAACTCTTGAGAGCTGATCTAAGTATAAAGTAATACAGGATTACTATTTGTATGACTTTAAATTTACATCATTAATTACAGATAATAATTACCATTCACAACATAGCTCCAGGTTGTTGTTTTAGAGCCAAGTAAATAAAATAATAAAGAAGCTATTTAACTTTAGATACTGAGAGAGAAGAGAAACCGGCATAGTTAGGATGGCAACTGTTAACACCACCAGTTTTCAGTACTTTCTGACACAGGTACAATGCAGGAAAATAACTAACAGCCTCACTTCTGAAGAATCTTTAAATATTGGGATTAGTTAGGTATCACTTGGGATACTTTGAACTGCAAATAACTAAAAACCTGGGCTGAAAGTGGCTAAAATAGTGAGGGGTTATTCATCTTATAAAGCAAGAAGTCTAGGGGTAGGAAGTTTCCAGAGTTGGTCAATTCAGCTTCACAGTATTATCATGGACATCCCACCTTTCTATTGTACACATTCAGTAGTTAGCCTGTCTTTCGTGATAAGCAGTCCCAGATGTCCCATGTAACACAATACCCAAACCATAAGAGCCACTTCCATCTCTGTTATTTAGAGATTATTTTGAGCAGCTCCCCAGCAGACTTCTCCAACTCCCATTGACCAAGATTAGGTCAAGAGTCCTGTTTTCACAACAATTAGCGGGAGGAATGAAACCATCATTACTGGCATAAACCATATTTACCTACTGTGGTTAAAAGAGCACAGCCTCCATTAAGTATGTGGCCCTGCAGACCAGGAACCCAGATAGAAGCAGATTTTCTTTTAAGAAGTCAGGAGAAATGGATTTGGGTGGGAAACCAACAGTGTCTCTTAGGAAGTGGAAGAAACAACAGATTTGAAATCTACTCCTGACCATTAAGTCAGGAATTTTTGTGGTAGAATCTATTCCTTGAACCTAGTCTATATAACTATCAGTTTTCATTTTTATAGCAAACAGTGTCATTATGCTTTGGTTAAATACTTTTTTTTTTGTTATCTGCTTTTTTTTTTGTTAGAAGCTTCTCATTTACTAGTAAATCGATGGGGAAATACACAAAATCCAGCTAACCTTTAGGAGAGGCCTGAGGAAGATGAGTTATGAACTGCCTAAACTAAAAAAAGAGATTACATTCATTAGATTCTTTCCTGAAAGGGAATTTTAATTAGAAGGAGTTAACAGAAGGTAAGAGTGGGAATGGGGTGGGTAAAGACTGAGGAGGGCAAAAGTCGTCAGAGACTTTCAGGGCCAGGGAAGAGCTGCTGACCCCTATGAGTGTGAAACGTGGAAGAGCTGGGCAGCAGGAAACAAGATATTGACATTCATAATTCAGGAAGTTTTGCATTATTCATTAAAATGCTACGGGAAACATTCTTTCAACTTTTTCAGAGTGCACCTTCAAAATAACCAATCAAAGTGTCTTTCTGTACAAAAATCTTTAAGTTGTAGTACTGAAACATGTCAGATACTACACAGGTTACTTTTACCAGTTAGCTTTAAAATACATGTAATGAGATAAAAGGGCAAGTTTAACAAGAATAGATTCATGACATTTTTTCTGGTATTGTACCATTCCTTGAAAACTGGAAGTATATGACTTACTTTTCTCCAGAATTATCCAAGTATAGTTTATAAATGTGAAATATTTCAATAAAACTGCAAGTATTTTTATAAAAGAACTTAAAGAATCAAGTACTTTAAGTTAGACAGTCATAACATTACAAAATATGTAGATAAGGCCACATGTCCAATAATATATGCATAATTTCTGGCTCAAGAAATAATAAAATGGATCCTTTCTGCATGTGACTCAGGCTATTTACTGATCCTCTTAAACCAATTCCAGAGCTCCTTAGATTAGCAATTCCTGCGTTAGACTCTCACCTGATTTGAGAAGCAAAATAAATACCTAATAAATTTCAGATCAATTACTTCTCTTATTTACCAGCCTTACCAGAAAGGGACTTTGTGGAGTATTTCAGAAATTCAACTCCAACTCAAAGAAAAAAAATTTGCCAGCAGCGAGAACACTTAACAATATTCTACAGGCTTAAAAGCAATTAATTCTAAAGGTGTGATTCTAACAAATAGTTTGGTAACAGTAGTACTAATATGGTACATAGACTTCCAAGGTGACACCTTCTAAGGAGACAAACTTGTGCTATGTTAAAAATGAGTCACCTTATTTTAAAAGCATTATCATCTAAGAGTAGTACAGAACACTATTACAGATTAGTACAAAACACTATTTAGAATAAGATTGACTTGTAAGAACTCCTGTGAACTTATTTTCCAAAGAGAAAGCCACCATTAAATCAAATAGAACACCACTCTTTCCTTTTAAATACCACAAGTTTTTACCTTTGTAAGGTTCTGAGCAATTAAGACAAACAAGAAACACCTGAAGTTCAATCAAGACTAGGCCTCAACTTAGCCAAACTGATTTTGCAGTGAATTTTTCTTTGAGCTATGGACCTAATTTAAACTATTTACACTATAACTTTCTTACTTGGGAAATATTATTAGTATAAAATGGCTCCTAATCGTTCATTCAACAGGAATTTTATTATCTCAGAATATGTATTTTCTAAATGTATGGAAAGTCTACTAAGAAAGAGGGTTGAATATGTCGATAGCTTTACATTAAAATATATGCCGTGGCACTTAAGTCAATATACTTGCTCAATTCATATAATATAAAAAGGCAGTTTTAATTTTTGAAAACCATTAGAGGCCACAGACATTTGCAATAAACAAGGCTGAAGCAAACCAGTTTGCAGTAAAAACAGCTGAAATAGTTTGAAGTCCAAAAGACTTCCAATCTAACCATGCTGAAAACGGAAAACTCCTAGTAAAACAACAGAATCCAAATGAACATAAGAAACAATTTCTGAGTGTGTGAACAAGAATAATAAAGTGAGAAGTGTAAAGAGACTGGTAGTTGCCAGATGGGGGGAGATAAATTTAAAATTACAGATTTAAGAATGAGTATGTCACTCCCGGGCCAGAATAGCTCACTACTTAAAACTTTGACTTCCCTTTTTTTCCCCCCCGATGTTAACAGTTTTTTTGAAAAACTTTCCTCTAGCGAAATCTGGAGATTACTCTTCACAATTCTTTTGAGGCAAGTACTGTATTTTAACACTTCTGCCAAAGCAGCAATCATACAGGCATAGGAAAAAGCCCGTGAGGAAGCAGGGCAAAGCAAGAGATACAGGATGCAGATTAAGAAGCCGACCACAGCCAGCGGACGAGTCAAGCTGGGATGAGCAAATCGGAATCAGAAGAGCTGAGCAGTGGGGGAGCAAGCGGGAGGGAGGGGCCGGGGCAAAACCCTGAACGTGAGTCAGGGATGGGACGGCAAGTGTGCGACCCAGGACGAAGGGAGGTACACGAAAATGAAGCAGCAGGCGGGGAGTCGGCCTGAGGAGCCGTGAGTGCGGCCAGAGCCCGCCCGCCCGCCTTCCTCGCGTCGGAGTCAGCGGCCAGTCACCTGGAGTGTGAGTTCCGGAGGGACTCGATGAGGCGCTGCTTCTGCTGTTGGAGGCTGGTGAGGCCACCGGGGGACCCAGCTGCGGAGGAGGAGGAGGCGCTCTTGGTCAGAGGAAAGAGCCAGCTCATCCTCCACGGGTCCCCGGGCCCGAGGCCCTAAAGGCTCCGGCCTGCGTCTCCCAGGTGCTCAGTCCGACGGTTCTCCAGCGACAGGGAAGCGGGCCGGGAGGCCCGGGGCCCCAAGCGCCGGGCGGACCGCGTCTTCTCTAAGCAAGCCCGGCCGGAGGCGCTCGGCTCCCGGGGCGCAAGCTGTGACTACAGGGAGCCGGACGGGGGGCACTCGCCCCCAGGAGCCGCCAGTCACGCCTTCACAGCCCGGACGCCCCAACCAGTAAGTCCGGCAGCCGGAGCGGCGGCGTTCCACCACCCAGGCTCCGTCACTTGCGTGCCCCGCCCCCTTGCGCGTGCGTCATCATGTAGCGCCCCCGTCAGGACGTGCAAGAAGCGACGGCGCTGCACGGTGCGGCGCAGCTCCGGCTCCGCTTTCTCTCTTCCTGGGCGTGAGGTGTCTATGGGGCACCCGCCGCCAACTCCGCTGCCGCCACCGCCGCCGCCGCCGCCGCCGCCGGGTGCTGTCTCTATGGCGAGGAGGAGGAGGAGGAGCGCGAGCTCAGCGACACAAGTAGATCTTGGGTCTGCCGCAGACTTGCGGGGGGAGGGGCGGGCCGGGGAAGTGGGAAGGGGGCGGGAACGCGACGCAGAGGCTGCGCGATGGCGCCCGCTGAAGCGCGGCCTAACAAGGCCAGAGGTCGGCGCCTGGTGGAAGGAGGCAGGGTAACCCGCTGGGGATGTGTCAGGGGCGTGACGCGGAGTGATGACGTACAGGCTTTGTACCTGGGGCTTCGACGCTGTGGGACGAAAATTGGGAGTAGAGGGCGGTGGCCTAGGTCTTCTGCAGCTCTTGTGACTCAATCTGGCTCCTGTAAATGGTTATCACGCACTTTCTCACTAGCTCCCTGCAGGGAAGAGCGTTATCTATGACTTGAGTACCTCTGTGTTGTCTTCTCGGTTCTTTGGGAGCCTGCAGGACGGAGATGCTAGGTTCAGTAAGGCCTTTGATGCCTCCTCGGGGTTCCTGGAACTGTAGTGAGAGAGGGGTGGAGAAAAGGCAATGTTAAACTACAGGGTCTTCCAAAGTGTGTGTGTGTCAGAAACTACAGGGCTTTCCAGCGCGCGCGCGCGCGCGTGTGTGTGTGTGTATGTGTGACAGGGTCTTCCAAAGTGTGTGTGTGTGTTTAGCGGACTGGGGAGGGCTATAAAGAAGGGGTTCCCTAGGTCTTTGGTTTCTCTTATTAAAGCCACTCGTGGTTACATTTGTCAGTGCAGGTGGGTTGGATGGGGTGGAGTGTCACAGTTCCCTGTTTTACCCTGTTTGTTATAATTTTTTCGAACTCGAGTGAAAAATGAAGGAGCAGTTGGAATTTCCCTGCCCAGGAATCCAAGTGTTGGTCTGTACTGTTGTTATATACCAAAAAAACTCGTGTTTATGGACCAGAAATGTGAGGTGTGAGTTTGGTAGTCAAGGAAGATGCTCAGATCTTTAGGACATGAGCAGGAAACAATTCGAAATGCAGACTATTATATTGCTTCCTTACTTTCTACCTCTTACAGGTAGGGACTTAACTTTCTATGGCTGTTACTTATTTCTTAGAAAGAGCTATTTTAAAAAAAAATTGATTTACTTTTGTCCCTTCTGTCTGACTTGAATGAAAGCCAGCCAGTAAAGTACATTTTGAATTAAATCAGATTTTGAATGTTCTCTTAATGAGGAGTAAAAGCAAACACTGCCTTTGTCCTGGTAACACCTGATCTTGTCACATGTGTATCTATATTAAACTTTTCATTTTTATCTGGAAATGCCTGTCTTTATAAAGTTTTATTCAGAGAGTGACTTGAATTCAGAGCAATCTTTCATTAGTGGAAAGTTATAAAAAATGATCAGTGTGTACACATAGAAAACACTATTTTTACATAACATTGTTACTGGAACCAGAAAACCTGTGTTTTAGTTTGTTCTTTTTACTGATAAGCTATGTGGCTTTAGACACATCACTTCCTAAACTTTGATTTCTTATGAATCAAGGACTTTGAAAAAATAATCTCTTAGGTTCCTATCAACTCAGTTATTCTGTGATTCAGATTTCTGGTATAGTTTTATATTTGTTTTTTATTTTGACAGGTACACAAATAAAGGGTAAAGTATTTTATGAAACAAGTCTTCAATCAAGTATAACATTTTGATGTTTGGCATCTAGACTCCTTGTGCCCTCACTATGCCAGCAGCAACTGTAGATCATAGCCAAAGAATTTGTGAAGTTTGGGCTTGCAACCTGGATGAAGAGATGAAGAAAATTCGTCAGGTTATCCGAAAATATAATTATGTTGCTATGGTATGCCTAAGAGAAAATCCTTAAAATGCTTCTAAAAAAGGAGGCAGAGAGATTTTACAAGTCTTGAATTCAACCAGTCTGGCTAATTTTTCTTCAGAGCTTAATTTAATGAAAAAATTTTGTCAATGTCCTTCAGCCAAAGATCACCAAGAACACACCTGTAATGTGACAAGTTAGTTGTGTTACGGCAGTGAGGGAGAATGTATACCTTTGCAGCTATGAGGCACTAGAGTTAAGAATGTTAGAAAGGGTTTTAGGATTTGGGCTTATGTTAGTTGGTTTTACAGAAGGTTTAAGGAAGCAGGGCTTTGCTCTGGAATGGATACTGCCAGGATCTTGGGGTAATTCCATGATAGAGGACATTAATAAGTCTTAAGTAGAAAGAAAGAAGACCAAGGCGGTAGGGAAACAAGTCCCTCATGTTAGCCAAGACAGAGGGATATTTGGTCATTTTTGTGGTTTGGACAATGTCTATATTTTTGTCTATGTTCAGTCATGATTACAGAGTAGCTTTGTCTGATGGTGAAATGTGAAATCGTTTATCAACAGAAGGAGTGCCAGGTCAGCTCCTAGAAACAGGAAGGCCTAACTGATAATGCCAGATGAGCTCCCAGAAGCCAGGGAGCTCCTGATATCCTTCACAAAATAAAAAATTCAGATCTCCCAGTGAAACATTGTTGATCTTCAGTTTTTTGTTTCGTTTTTGAGTTGTCAGTGGAGTTCTATGGACAGACGCACTGTGCTGTTAAGCATCTTGTTTTTGCATATACTAGTCAATATGCTTGCATATACTAGTCAATATGCCTAGACTGTCTACTCAGCTTCATTTTTTTGCTTCTTCATTATTGTACCGTGTACACGTACTTGACCATTTTCTAGAGTATTAGTTCTAGGAAGCAGGAGTTAGGTTTTTGCTTCTTCATTATTGTACCGTGTACACGTACTTGACCATTTTCTAGAGTATTAGTTCTAGGAAGCAGGAGTTAGGATCTTAATCATCCATTCTTCCTCCTCAGCACGTAGCATAATGTAGCATCCAGTAAAGTGGTTCTTGAATGAGCCTGAATTTAGAGAGGTTTTAATTTCTTTACTAGTTCATAGTGACTTGGAATTTAGATTTTGTACTTAGTTTCCTAATTGGAATTTTAATAATAAACTGATACGTCATTTTCTTAGTATTTTTAATACAAATAAATAAATAGGCTTCTATGGGGAGAGGCACATTGGGTAAAATACGAATATTTGAGTGTGCTAGATGACATTCTATTTAATAAAGGTGTACTTACCCATGATTTAATAGAATTGAAGTTTTTTTTTTTTACTCAGTAGAAATTCATAGTAATCATTTATTTTTCAGTTGATAAGGAGTGACAGCATTAGAAATGTGATAACATTCTACAAGAATGAATGGGTGGCATGCAATTTGTGATGACATGCTTCCTCTGGAGGAAAAGTACTGTTTTAGGCCAAGAAATTAGGAGGTTTTGGTGTTTGGATAAACCTTGTTTCAGAAAAAGAATTGGAAACTATAATACATTTTCCAATTCTTTTTAACCAGTTCTTCATTGGTTTTAACATTAGAATACTGTGAGCAAAGTTTCACAGACCCCTTGAGAAACATGAGTTTATGATTTTGTTTCCCCTTACTTGAGAATAGAGTCCTTGATTGCATTTATAATGTGTATCATACACAGTAATTTTTTACTGATAATTTAAAGTAAGAAAAAGTCACTAAGTTTGTAGAGTTTTCTGGTTCTGAAAACTAATTTAGTTAAAAGGCACTATAATTAAATATGAATGCATAACATTTCATGTATAATAATGTTCTTAGACTTGCAATGAAAATTAATTATTCTAGTAACTTGCAGAATGTTTTTGACCTTTTGGTAACTAATGAATCTTAAAACTATTTTACAGGACACCGAGTTTCCAGGTGTGGTTGCAAGACCCATTGGAGAATTCAGGAGCAATGCTGACTATCAGTACCAACTATTGCGGTGTAATGTAGACTTGTTAAAGATAATTCAGCTAGGACTGACATTTATGAATGAGCAAGGAGAATACCCTCCAGGAACTTCAACTTGGCAGTTTAATTTTAAGTTTAATTTAACGTAAGTGAGAAATAAATATAACCCAAACTATTTTTTTAGTTTAATTTTAGGAGTAGATTTTTCTCAAGTATGGTGAATGAAATTTTAACTGAATTTGGCATAGTAATCCTGGAAATATTTAAAACCTAAAATTTTTGAAGGTTAAATGTCTTCTTTCTATTATGGGCAAAATAAATTAGGATGAAGATGACTTTTAAATTCAGTACTTTGAATTTTTAGAGATGTTATTTGAAAAGAGTGACTGCCAGTTTTTTTGAAATTTGGAAAACCTTGAGTATTGAAAATACTACTTGTAGAAAAAAACCTTGTGAGTTTCATTTTCAAATGCTGTGTGAAATTTGAACTACATACATTTTTGTTAAAAAATAGTTACCCTTCTTGTGATAAGGTTTTTATTAGTCAGATTCCAGTTTATGAGTAGATTACAAGTCAGAAGGGGTGAAGCACTGCTTAGAAACTTCAGTGCCATAGTATCTGTTATATAATGAAAAAAGTTGGATTTATTGAGATACCCTTCCTAAAGTGTTCTTTAGGGGAAATGAATAAAAAGTACTTATCTCTATTCAAACTGATAATAACTTTTGTAAGTACTGTCTTATTTTTTGTAAAATTGACATTTTCCTATTCTAGTAACATCTTTGTTCTAGTAACAACTGCTTTATTGCAGTCTCTAAAAGACATTCTTTTCTTATACAGAGAGTGCTGTTGTAGTTTTGCTACCATTTATGCTAACGTTAACATATTGGGAGGTGTTTAAGGAGAAAGTTATAATGAAAAATATTATTTAAGTAGAAAAGTCAGTTGGAAGATAAAACTAGTGCTTCCCAGTGTGGACACAGAGCACCATGAGTAGAGTCTTGGATATTTTGAGGAAAGACACAAATGAACTTTTTGATTGAGTGCCCAGAATGAATGTGTCCACAGCTCTGGTGGGCGCCAGGGACACATAGCTGAGTGTGTGCTCAGAATGAATGTGTCCACAGCTCTGGTGGGCGCCAGGGACACATGGTTGAGTGCGTGCCCAGAATGAATGTGTCCACAGCTCTGGTGGGCACCAGGGACACATGGTTGAGGAAAATTGGTCATGGGCACTATAACTTAGGGTCCCTGTATCTCTTTGTCTGCTTTCTGTTGCTGAAGTCCAAGAATTCAAATTGTTAGCTACTGATTAATGTATGAGAATTCTCTCCAAACTGAATTTGGACTTGATATGTCCAAGAAAATTGAAGTGGAATATTGCTTAGTTGTCAAGAAAAGAAGAAAGCTATGAAGAGAATTCCACTCAGAAGTCAGGAGATGAGAACCAGTTTTTTTAGAGTCATCAGTTTGATGATGTTACTAATATTTGAGAATCTATGACGGGATCATAGATTCAATGGTAAAAGGAAGTTGATTAAGAATATGGCAATGAAAAGAAGAAAAAGTAGCAAACAAGGGACAGCAGCATCAAAGGGTGGTTTTTTATTTTGTTGTTCAGATAAGGCATAAACATTTGAAGGTGAAGGGCAGTTGTCATTTAAGGAGTTGCAGGCTGTTCATATTTCATAGTTTTTGGAGATTGTGGGGGGCATCTTTGTATTACCAGTTTGAGTTTATGAAATGTTAAGCTTAGTAACCACCTGTGTATTTGTGATAATCTTAAGTACAGTGTATTTTCCTTTTTACCTTACTCATGATTTTTAGCATAAGTTTAGATATATAGCTTACATTTTAAAAAATGAATATGTGTGGTTAGTCAGGAGTGGATTGAGGTTAATGGGCATTTCCAAATTGTAAAGTCTCTCATGTGCATGTTTAAAAATGTGAATTTGTGTAGTAGGCTGAGTTAATACTTCCAGGTAGAGCGAATTTAGCAAATTCAGTACAGTTACTGAATTTAGCATATATAGTTGGGTTAGTTTCTGTCCGTAGGATGGTACTTGGTTATTACTTGCTATGGGATGTCTCTTGATGTGAGTGTTGGGGCCTGTGAGTTTCTTGTTGTTTAAGGTACTTATTTTTAATATAGTAAGGCCACAGTATCTGTTGTACAATGAGTATAATGAAAAAAGTTGGATTTATTGAGATACCCTTCCTAGTGTTCTGCAGGGGAAATTTTGATTTAAAACTGCCATGGCTCCCTTCTGTTTTTTAATATTTCAGTCGCTAGTTATTTTTCAAAGACATTTAAAAGCAAATTGATTTCCATAGACTAGACTATAAGAATACTTTTTTGGCTCAAGTATAATGTTCCTTTTAGTTTAGTAAGTCTTGTTAAAGCTCTTAATAGAATCTTCTCATGCTAAATGGTAGAAACCAGTATTCTTACAATTTAAAAAATACGAAAAATCCAGTGGGCAATACACAAAATACTTTTCACTTATTCTGAGAAACGTATACCTTTGTTTTGATATTTTTTTGCTTAAGTTAGTGTTTTGGATACCTATGTGTTTGTGCTTAAAAATTAGAGATGGTTTTCTTTTGGCTTTAGTAAAATACTGAAGGACTGGCTTATACTTAGATTTCCTGGCTTGATTTTGGTAAGGTAATCTTCTAGGATTAAGATTGTTAGAAGAAAAAAATTGTTGTTACAGTAGAGTCCTTCATTTTAAATAGTTTATTGTTTTTGAAATGGCTCATCATTAGCGAGAGCAGGCGTCTCCTTCTCCTTTAAGCTGGAATGTAGCGTCAGTCAGTCCCAGCAGACATTTCCCACTGGGTCTGCTCGATGCTGCTCTGGGCAAACAGACATGGCCCTCACCTGTGGCTACACGCCTTCTGGGAGCATTAAAGTGGCTGCTGAGACCAAAAGGCCCCAAAAAGAACATGTCTGTTACTTCATGGTGGTAGCCCTGGTGAGTAGAAGACCCTAAACTTAAATGTATTTCACTTATGAAAGGCTAAAGAAATTGAGCTGATAATAAGATTAAAATCTCACCATTGGTCTGTATATTGGAATGGTTATTTACTGTGTGAACACTTTTCTAAAAACATTTATGTTTTCAGTGTCTTTTCCTTTCATATATACATGGAACGTTGGGAATAAGTGAACCCAAGCCAGTCCTCTATCTGGCACTGTAGTTGTAGATGTGAATGGGGGAAAAATAGTGTTTGAGGTATGGCACTTTTGAAGGTTATCTTTCTTTTTCTCCTGCCAGGGAGGACATGTATGCCCAGGACTCTATAGAGCTACTGACAACATCTGGTATCCAGTTTAAAAAACATGAGGAGGAAGGAATTGAGACCCAGTACTTTGCAGAACTTCTTATGACATCAGGAGTGGTCCTCTGTGAAGGGGTCAAATGGCTATCATTTCATAGGTAAAAAGCTTGTATTGAAAATGGCATTTGTGTAGCCATTTCCTTGCTGCTTTATGCTTGACTTGGGTCACTGTTTCAGTAGTTTCAGGCTTAGCTCTACACAGAATGGCCTGCCATACAACTGTCTCCTAACTTGAGGCACTAATGTTCGTCTACTTAAAGGTTAATTTAACAACATGGTATACATTTCAGCCTGTGAGCTACACAATATTGCATAGTGGAAACAGTACAAGCTGGAAAAGTAGATCTCTGTTTAAATCCAGCAATGCCACTTGGAATTTGTGTTACCAAGGGTTATTTAATTTTCTAAGCCTTAGACTGAAACCATTCATTTATCAAAAAAATATTATCTACCATATGCCAATTGCAGTGATAATCTAGGAACTAAGCTATAAACTAAGACTAAAATCTTTGTCCTCATGGAGATTATATGCTGGTAGAAGTAGGCGATTTTTGAAAATAATGCAATTTATGTAATGGTTTGTTAGATGGTGATAAGTGCTATGGAAAACACAGTGCCAGTGGTGAGTGTGTGGTGGATTTTAACATTTTTTAAATAGAGTGATCAGGAAAGCATCACTTAGAAGAAATTTCTTGTAGAATTGTTCTAACGACCAAAAAATGACATATTTAAAGCATCTAGTAAAGTACTTTCAACAGTGAATTCTCAGTAAGTGGTAGTTTCTGTTACTATAAAATAAAACTCGGTTGATTGGTTGAGAATTTCTAGAAAGAAAATTAGTTCTGTTTTGTAAAAGTAGACTTCCAAGTAGGAGAAAGAGTTTTCTTACCTATGTAAACTAAACTGGCAGCCCAGGGACTAAAAGTGACCTTTGGAATAATTTTATTTGGTCTTTTATTATGGTTTTTAAAAGCTTTGCATTATGCAGGTATTATTAATGTTCTTACACTTGTTCCACTTCTTACATTAAAAAAAAAATAGTGTCCTGTATGTTTTAGAATTTCCAGTTCTGGCCTATGGAGTGATTATAGTGAAGGGACTGTTCACATTGTAAATTTTGATGCAGTATTAAGCAATAATTTTTTGAGTTGGAGGGATTGAATATACTAATTCTCACTATCTTTTCTTTCTCCTCCACTTGACCCTTACCTCAGGAGACAAGACTTAAGCCTCTGTTAATTTGAGGGGTGTTTTTGAGTTCATTTTTTACTTTCTCAGTCATGAGGATACAAAAGAACTGGAATGCATTTTCCTATCCTTTTATTATATATGACATCTTTCATTCAGAAAAACACTCTGAGCAAATACTATGTGCTGGGCACTGTGGATATTAAAATGAACAAAACCAGAAAGGGTTCATGTTGTCTTAAAGTCCAGACTAGACTCTGATACATTTGAATATTTGTCAAGGATGTGACTTAAAATTTCTATCAGAAAAAACTTTTTTCACCTCTGTGGTACTTATGTGCCCTCTTCTGTATTCTTTTAACCCTTTTGTAGTGGTTACGACTTTGGCTATTTAATCAAAATCCTGACCAACTCTAATTTGCCTGAAGAAGAACTTGACTTCTTTGAGATCCTTCGATTGTTTTTTCCTGTGATTTATGATGTGAAGTACCTCATGAAAAGCTGCAAAAATCTCAAAGTAAGGTTTCAGTACTCAACACACTATTAAGACAAAGTGATTGACATAGAAGATCTAGACTGGGATGTTGTTTTAAATCACATTTTTAAGTTTTATGTTAGGTGCAGGTACATTATCTGATTGATCCTTTTTGCATAAACAGTTTCTAGGAAATGGTTTTTAAAGCTTCAGTATATATAGGCAGAATGTTTTCAAGAAAAATTCGAGCGAAGGATCAAATTTTGTCACTGCCAGATTGAAAATTATAAACTAGCACAGTAATGTGAAGACTAGTGAGGCTTTTCATGCACAGAAATGCAAGTTCTCACTCCTTCCCAACAGGCACATAATCTACCCATGCAAGATAAAGTCTGAAGTGTGCAGTATGCTAATGTAGTTAGTAGTGTGGCAGAGTTTTCCTTTCAGCTTATCTTGGCTAGAGATTAGTCACAGGATCATGTCCCTAGAATTAAATTACGTAGTTATAAGGGTTTTCTTCCCCCCAAAGATGTCAACTTACTGCCATAGTAAATGTGTAGGTCCTGTCTAGACATAGCTTATATTCTGACACTGCTTAACTTGCGCGTAATAATTTGTTACTTCTGAACATTATTTCTTTCAAAAGGAATGTTTCATTAGTAAGGAAAAGTGCTCCTTCAGTTTGAGAACGAATTCACCTATGGAGGTGCAGCTCCTAAGGAATACAGTGGTTTTATTTTTTTTTCAGCTACGTTTGTATTTAAGCTGTAACTTAAAAGCAAGAACATTTAGGTAAAGAGGTTGCTTCATAGAATCAACATTGGAGTTGATCAAGTTTTCTCACCAGGCATTGAGGAGTACAAGTTATACTTTTAGGAGATAGTAAAAACTTTAAGAGCTTTACTTTTAAGCAGAAAGAAGGAATTTTAGGAATTCAGTAAAAAAACTTTGCTTTTGACAAATGAACTAAAAATCATGAGAAGCCATCTTTTGGCCCTTGTTTCCTTGCCTCATTACAGGATAGAGCATATAACCAGGGAAATTTTTAAGAGATTACTTCATGTATGTAGTACCCAAGAACAGCAGAATTCTCTGCAATTTGAAGACACTTCTGTGACTCACACGAACTTGAAATAAGATACTCTTATGACTCTAGAAACTCAGTGCGCCCCCTGAAATTCAGTCTATAGCCTGAATGACCCTATTCTGTTGCTCTCCTAAGCAGCTGCACTGACACCTAATCCTTATGTTATTTTTAGCACAGAAGCAACTGCTATGCAAAGTACTCTTTTGACCTGTGAGGTAGAGAAGGGCTGCTTAAGTAGAGGCCTAAACAATTTAGAGGAATTTGTGTATTTTTTTGGTCCTGGTCTTTTTTCTCATCCCACACTCCCCCTTTTTCTCCTCTCCTTCCTTACCTCTGTCCTCCTCCTTTTATTCTGTCTCCCTTTCATCTCATGATCTTTCTTTTTTAATCCTAGCAATATTAATATAGGCAAATTTTTAGCAGGACCTTGTAAAGAGTTGTATTCTTAAAACATACTGTCTTTTTATGTAACAAAACCATAATTAAGCACTTAGTGAATTCCTAAGGATTTGGTTAGTCATAATAGCTTTTATTTTATGCAAAGTGTTTAGCTCAGACTATTTAGAGACAAATTGGTAGGAAGCTTAAAGAAAATTGGAAAGTAACTGCCAAGTATCAGTTTTATAATACTGATTGATGATGGATTGACTGAATACACTTGATAAGTGTTACCCTATATACCTATTACCTTGTATATGATCTGCTTCCCTCAGATCTTTAGGAATTACTTGACTGTCACGTGCCTTAAAGCATATGATGAAGATAAATTTTCCCAATTAAGACCTCATTTTCTATTAAATTATGAACTACTCTCACATTCAACAAATAACAATAGTAATTCACATTGTCTGGTTTTTCCTAGTCTTCATAAGGTGTGTCTTTACTGAACTTCAGTTATGTTTTGGTCAGTGTCTTAAGTTACACAGTTTGTGAATTCAGGCATTGCAGTGTTTCTCTTTTGACAGGCAGTTTTTCTTTCTTCTAGGGTGGTTTACAGGAAGTTGCTGAACAGTTAGAGCTGGAACGGATAGGACCACAACATCAGGCAGGATCGGATTCCTTGCTTACAGGAATGGCCTTTTTCAAGATGAGAGAAGTATGAAGACATCACTGCCTTTTTCTCAGTCGGTTATTAGGTTGAGAACATTAAAAATCTTATGGCAAAATTTTGGGGGCAATAAGTACTTACTAAGTGAAGATATAAATAAGAGGTACCATGTAAGTCATATCCACCATACTTGAATGAATATTCAGAAATAAGTTACCTTGCAATGTAGTTCAGAAGGAAATGAAAAAATAGTTTCTTTGTAAATTAAAAATTTAAGTTACCTTAGAAATCACGTAGGTCCAACTAATTTCTTAGGCGAGAAAACTGAGGCCAGAGGCTAGTGATTTGTATCCAAGGCCACGGATATTAGTGGTGGAAGACTCTGGAGTTCTGCACACCACAGCGGTGCTGCTTCTGCCCAGGCAGGGCGTCCCTATGTTACGTTTCCCTTGGCATTATCATCTCTTAGGCATTAAACTGCTGGTAAAAAATACCTCTTGCTTATTGCTGTTCTTCAGTATTTGGAGGACTTGAGAGTGGGAATTGTGCTTTTTTAGAAAACTGAGTTTTACAAAGAGGTTTTGAATTTTAAAGGGGTTAAGTAAGCCTGAAGGTAGTTGAGTCAAGTCATATTGGCCAGACCCGCCATTAGTGGCTAAAGGCAGAGGTCAGTTCCTCATATAGAAAGCATTTGTGTCTGGAAGATGAAATTGAATGAACCCGTGTCAGCTCCTAGGTTATATACCGATACGTACAGGTACATCTCATTGTAAGTACATGCAAAGAAAAGAAAAATAGTTTTCCAAAAACAAATAGAATGGACTTTTTTGCTTACAAATAAAGGTGGTTTTTGCCAAATACTTTAGAATTCTTTTGAGTATATCCCCGTAGACATTAAGGAATTGACTGAGAACTCTTTTTACAGCTTCTTGTAGAAACTTAGTAATAAGGAAGCATAATAGCTTTTTCACCAAGTGATGCTGATTCAGAAGTGATCTGGACTGTGTCCATGGCAAGTAAATAGTTTGTCTTGTACTTCTTGCCAATGCTGCATTAGAGAATTAAAACCACCTTTGGATTTTCAGCTTTGCATTTTAAAAATGCCTTAATGGTTCAGGTAATGGTGGATTCTCTAGTACTTAATTGATTATCTTTATTTTCTTGCCTTCTTCCAAGGACAGTAACCTACTAAGAATGTTCAGATTTTACTGTCCGAGTGTGTCTAGGGCTTGCTTATTTGTAGCCAACTCAGCTGTGCACATAGATTCAAGATTACTTATAAGCCTAAATTTTTTTTCCCCATCATTGGCTATTTTCATTCATTCTTACCTTTGAGATTATTAAATTAATGGAATAAAAATGTCTGCCACTTTTCAATGATGGCACATTTTCATTAAAATGGTCTAAAGGTTAATTAAGAAAGACATGCGTTTATACATTTTTTTGTAGTCTTTGGTTTCTTTTGAGCTCTGTACTTCTTGAGAACATCAGTCTTATTCATTGAATTTAAGTGTGTGGCCTCAAGCACCACAGAAAAGAGCTGTCATTGTGCTTAATGAACAATCAGTACTTACATTGCTGAAATATAAATTACCAGTGGTACCTTTTGGTTAAAATTCTCTTTTTTTTTTTCCAAAATTCCTTTTTAGATGTTCTTTGAAGATCATATTGATGATGCCAAATATTGTGGTCATTTGTATGGCCTTGGTTCTGGTTCATCCTATGTACAGAATGGCACAGGGAATGCATATGAAGAGGAAGCCAACAAGCAGTCATGACATGAAATAGTCCTTTTATTTTTATTTCATTTGAGCTACACACATGCCTGTATATAGGTTTTATCTCTGGTTGAAATTCTTGAACAATACACAATACTTTTTTTTATAGCCCATTTTATTTTCTGCCTTTTAGTACTAAGTATGACCATTTGTATCTCAGATCTTACTGATAAATAGGAAAGCATTCAGGTTAAATTTGGCCTTAACTTAATGTACCTGTTAGCAGGCGTGTGTGACAGCACAGGAAAAGCTACATATTGAATATTTTGATAAACTTAACCTACTTGAGCTTGGTTTTTCAACTCTTTCTAAATTAACTAGCACTGACTGTAATTTATTTCTCTGTTTCATGTCTCCCTTCCATTCTGCAGGAGTTTTAGCTATTTGAGATTGTAGACCATCAATTTTGCACTTTAGAGAGTGATTCTGACTCAGATCCTCTGTTTTATCAGAAATTTTGGCTTTTCTTGCTCTTAGCTGGAAAGATGACCATCTGCCAACTTTACACAGTATTTTCTTGTTTTTGACCCATGGAATATAGCACATGCATTGTGTGAACGGTTGATTCAGCAAGACTACAAAAAATAGAAGTCAAACTACTGAGGAGCTTAATAACTGCTGTTTCTGTATGTTGTGTTTAATCTTCCAAGCACATTTAGTGTCTGTCGGTTTCTCATTGGCATGTGTAGGCTGTTCTGTGACTAAAGAATTTTTCAAAACCAGCTTTACACCCTTCAGGAAAAATCCCTTATGATTGGATGTTTTGTGTCTGCCAGGAAACTGGTATCCAAGATATTGAAGCTGTAGTTAATTTATAACAGCATACTTCCCTGATCTTTTTTTCTGTCATTGCTTACCCTTATTTTTAATTAAAAAAAATTATATTATAGCCATACTTACAATGCTCTTGATTTGTTGATTCTACAAATCAATTTCATTAAAGCCCAAAGGTAGCAAGTCTTTAGGTATATTTTATACCAAATTAGAAGAAAAAAAATTGTGCTTTCTTAGTTGTTACAAAAAAATTTGGTGCAGAACAACAAAATACAAAAATTATATATATATAAGCTATATATATATATATATATCTATCTACTAAAATTACCTGAGGAGTGTAATGCTTGTTTATTTTTTTGTGTATATCTTTGCAATCTATTTTATATATATGGACAAAAGAGACTGTGAAATATTTAGTCATCTAGAATATGTGACCAGACCAGAGCATGTGTAGGAAGACATTTTGGTAATCATTAATTCTACCCTGAAATGATAGATTACAAGTTATGATGTGTGTTACCTACATTTCAATCTATTAGCAAATCTCTAAATGTTAGCCACATTGGTTTGTATTCCTTGTACATTCTTGATTCATATTACTATGCTGTAACTGGGTGGTCCTTTTTAAACAAAACATTATTTGCAAAACAGAGGGTATTATTTGTTTTTAAAGCTTTTGTAAATAAAGGCTTCAGAAATGTTTTCTTATATATGTTGATGACTGGTAAATTTTATTTTAGAAATACTTATTTGGGGGATGTTTTAAATTTGGACAGCTGAACAGAATTCAGTTCACTTTATTAACTAGCTAATTATTAGTCTCAATTGAAAAATTGATCTGAGCTTTCCACATTTCAACACAACAGTGTTGGCTTATTTATGAATACCTCAACTAGATGTTAGGAATTGATTTGTATCTTGTTTCCAAGAATGCATTTATTCTGAAAGACAAAGTTTGGTGTAACTTACTATAGCTTCTTTTTAAAGCTGACATAGCAGGTGTCTAATAAGTTTTTTATTTTGATCACTTTAAATAACAGGAGTTATATAAAGATTGCCTTTTGAATAGGCACACAGTTGCTGAATTTTATAGTTTGTATCAATTTTGACTTCTGTCTCTAAAAAGTATAACTTCTGTAAGAGAAACATTATGACCTTTACGAAATTTGGATATAAATAATTGGCTGATAATTTTTTAGTGTTCCTGTGCCCTTCATTCTGGACTTACCATATTCTGTTAAGTATTAGAGCAAGAGTCAGCAAACGGCCTACCGGCCAGAATCAACCTGTTGCCTGTTTTTGTATAGCCAATGGCATTACAGTTTTAAAATTGTTAGGGGAAAAAAATTAGAAAAATACTTCCTGACAATTGAAACTATGAAATTCAAGTTTTAGTGTTTATAAATAAAGTTTTATTGGAATGCTGCCACACTGATCTTCAATGTACTGTCTGACTACTTTTGCAGTAAAATGGGAAAAACTGAGTACCTCCTACAGAAACTCTGTGGCATTCTCGTCATTGCACATTGCTCAGTTTGTTACAAAGTGAGTGATGCAGATGGGACCTGACACCATTTGGAGTGCAAGGTTTATCTCTGTACATTTTACTATTTTGTTCTGTTACTAATTCATGCCCCTTATGTCAAAACAAGAGAAGTGCATTTTGAATGGTGTGTTTTTCAGACATCTTGTAATATGGACTACCTTACCGAATTACATGAAAAAATACTGTTTACTATGCAGTGCCACCATAACCATCCTGAAAGAAACACAATTATGTTGACATAACCAGCCCAAGCACTCATCACAATACTCCCAACTCATGGGAAAGCAGCAATCAGGAGAATTAGAAATTTTAAATGGAATTATCACAGCATTTCTTCACAAAAATAAAAAATGAAGATGAGGCTACAATCAAGGTTCATTTCTGAGTGGCCCACTTATTAGCCAAACAAAGCCACTTACTGATGGTGAATTATTTCACATTTTTGAATGCAGTAACCCAAAGAAATGTGTCTAGAAAAAAATAAAATGATGATTAGAAGAAAATAAAATGAGAACACTGGTTTCAAAAGTGGGGATACTGAGTCTAGCATCAACAGTCAATGATAAAACATGATTTTGAGTATTTCTTTGGCTCTTAATGAGTCAGTGTTACCAATACAACCAAGCTGTATTTTTTTTATTCAAGAAATCAAACTGAGTTTGAAGTGACTGAAGGATCAGTCTGTATTGATAGTCTGGGACAACTACAGTGAGACTTCTTTCAAAGTTGAGCTACCACAAGTATACCTAAAGTGGAATCTAAGATGTGATACAACTGCAAAATACATTAAAAATATGCATGAAGCAGAAAAGAATTTGGCCAAATTATAAAACCTGTGAAAATGTGAGTTGTTTTGATTTGGCAAGGACCTATTTTGCTTGTTACACACCCTTGTTTTCTTTTTTTCTAAACAAATAATACCGTTTGTTGGTAGCTGGTATAATATACCACCATCACACTGACCATGTAGAAAGAGAAACAAAACTTGAGATGTACATACATATATAGACTTTTCTTTGGTTGACTGATTATAACTATCTTGGGCTCATCCATAACCTTTATGTCTTGCGTAATTATAATTTTTAGAGCCTTATATAAAAGGGTTTTAAGACATGTTTGCATGTTACACTAAAACTAGTGTGTACAATTAAGGTTGCTTTTTAAAATACTCAGCTTTTACAGAAATGATTATTAGGATGGTTTTAATATTGGGCTTTAGGGGGCTGTACATGCTGACAGAAAAAGACATGAATTCTAAACTGACAGTGTTAGAGCTGAATAAAAATCAGTGGAACACCACATCAATGAAAGGATAAAACCATATGATCATCTCAACAGAGGCTTAATTAAGCATTTGACAAAATTCTATATCCATTCTTGATAAAAACTCAAAAATGTAGAGGAAACATACCTCAAGATAATAAAGGTCATCTATGACAGGCCCAGAGCTAACACACTCTGGTGAAAAGCTGAGAGCTTTTCCTCTAAGATCAGGAACAAGAAAAGGATGCCCATTCTCGCCACCTATTCAACATAGTACTGGAGGTCCTAGCCACAGCAAGCAGACAAGATAGAGAGAGAAAAGGCACCCAAATTGGTAAGGAAAAAGTTAAACTATTTGCAGATGACATACACAGAAAACACCTGAGACTCCACCAAAACACTATTAGAAGAAGTAACTGGATTCATCAGTGTTGCAGGATTCAAAATAAAAAACAAATCTATTGCATTTATATTAGTAATGAGCTAGCAGAAAGGGAAATAAGGAAAACAATTCCATTTACAACTTGATCAAAAAATAAAATACCTAGGAATAAACCTAGCCAAGAAGGCAAAATATCTGTACTCTGAAAACTAACACACTCATGAAAAGAATTAAAGATGACATGAATGGAAATCTATCCCATGTTTATGGATAGGAAGTACTAAAATGACCATCCTACCCAAAGCAATTTTGCAAAGCAGATTCAATGCAATCCCTATCAAAATACCCATGGCATTTGTCAATGAACTAGAGCAAATAATCCTAAAATTCACATGGCGCCACAAAAGACCCTGAATAGCTAAAGCAATCTTGAGGAAGAACAACAAAGCTGGGGGTATCACACTCTCAGACTTCAAGTTATACTACAAAGCTATGGTAATCAAAACAGTATGGCACAGACACAAAAACAGACCCATAAATCAATGGAACAGAATAGAGTGCCCATAAATAAACCCACTTAATATATGATAAAGGAGCCATGAATATGCAATGGGGAAAAGAGTCTCTTCAATAACTGGTGCTGGGAAAACTGGCCAGCTACATGCTAGAGAATGAAACTGGATTACTGTCTAACTCCATACACAAAATGGATTAAAGACATAAATGTAAGACATGAAACCATAAAACTCTTAGAAGAAAACATAGGCTAAAATCTCTTGAACATGAGCATGGGAATTTTTTTTACAGACACATCTCCCCAGGCAAGGGAAACAAACAATGAACAAGTGGGATGACATTGAACTAAAAAGCTTAAGTACAACAAAGGACACCATCAACAAAACAAAAAGGCATCCTACAGTATGGGAGAATATATTCATAAATGATTTATCTGATAAGAGGTTAACATCTAAAAAGTACAAAGAGCTCATATGAACCAAACAGCAGTAGACTCACAGACACTGAGAAGTGACTGGTGGTTACCATGGGGGAGGGGTTGGGGTGTGTGGGTGGGTCACAAAAATCTCAATCATAATATAAGTTGGTCACGGGGATGGAAGTGCAGCATGAAGAATACAGTCAGTGGTTCTGTAATGTCTTCCTATGTTGACAGATAATAAAACTGTACTAGTGGGGGGTGATAATTTAATAATGTGGGTAACTGTTGAATCATTGTGTTGTATACTTGAAACCAATACAATGTTGTATATCAACTATACTTCAATTAAAAACAAAAAAACAGTGGGAGGACTTCCTTTGATAGAAGTTCTTTATTTTGGCACCAAGAGATTTCTACTTTGAAGCATTATTTTTTTCTTATTTTGATTACTTTCATCTCTCAAGAAATATTAATAAACTCAGGTCAGGACTGAGCTACTTATACTATTAAGTCTTCCCTGAGAGATGCTCCTTTATGTAGCAAAAAACAATTCTTAAAATCACTTTTCAAAAGGCCTCTTTGATTTAATTGGTACTAAGATATAAGTCAACTCAAAAGAAATAATCAGGGAAGACATTTTCCCCCCAACTGTAAACAGTACAGAAATACTGAATATTGGCTGTGAACAAGAACAGCGAAGATCTATCTCTGAGCACAGTCACCAGTTTCCTGCAGGCTGCAAGTGATTTAAAGTCGTCTCTGATGGCATTGCTCACATACCATATGTGAACTTTCTGCTTGCATAAGAATATTAAAAGCATCAGATATTGAATCTTAGTAGCCCAGGCTTCATTAAGGTAGAGCAAATTCTTTACTTACAAGCTCTTTTGTCGGAGGATGGAAAAAAACATTCTATTTCAGAGCCTCCTGCTACACTGAACTTGTGCTGGGAGACACTTCACATTCAGTGTTTGATCCACAGAATTCCTTTGAAGAAAACCTACTTGAATTCGTCCCTTCAGTGATGTTCTCTTGATTCATATCAGGACACTACTATAAAAGAGTAACAAATTCATCATGGCAAAGGGAAGGAAAGCTCAAGGATTGTGCCATTAAAATGAATGACACCATTTCCTGAGTTCTGTAACAAAGATTCTTTGGTAATAAGTTCTAAAGGAAACCTACTGGTGGAACAGATTGCTCAATTTTAAAATCGAGACTTCTGTAATGTGTATTTTTATAATGCTTTTAATAAGTGACAGGATCAAACTGCTGAAATTGCAATAAAAAATTAGAATCTGAATGTTTACCAAGACAGGGTTAAAAATTTCCAGTAGTATCTTTGTAAAAGAGTAACAAACACTTCAGGTGTAAAATGTGGTTGGCTTCCACATTTAAGAGGAAATAGTTCTAAGTTGTCTAAGTATGTGGAAGAGGAGTGCAGGCTGCTAAAACTTTTGGGATTAAGCCAAGTAGCTTTTTACAGTTTTAAAGTTTTCCACAGAAGGATCTTACCTGGTGATACACGGGATTTATGAAAATCCATTGCTGAAATGTGTCACTTAGACCAAAATGTTGGCAGATTAGAATCTGTAGTGTGAGCCTGGGTGGGAGGGTCATTATGGAGGAAACTTTCATTGTGGTCTGCACTGTAAGCAGATTTGTATTAACCATATTTGTGATTCATATATATGTTTGTGTGCTTTTTAAAAATTCATAATGGTTTTAGAACTACCACTTTTACAAGTAAATATCTGAGAGTAAGTGTATTCCTAAGTATATAGTATAACTTCAGAATCAGTCCAGCAAGTTTATATGTATTTCAAAACAGGGAAAATTTGCTAGTTTATAATAAAATGGAGTAACTATGTTCACAAGTTGTTTTCTTGAAGCACATCACACGATTACTACCTTAATTTTTTAATGAACATGGTTTTTAAATCCTTTATATTTGATTTCCCTAGTGAAGATAGTTTTTGTCAAACATATGGCATAATTCTAATAGTTACCTGCTAAGTACAGTGTTCTCAAGTTCTATAGTCCCTTTCTGATTGTCCTGAGACTCATTTAATTACTAATGAGTAATTATCTCATCCTTATATTCACCTCTTCTCAAAATAGCTGTTTTGACCAGCTGAAGATATGAGCTTTGCCTATGGTAGCTCTAGTAAACTGTAGGGATAAGTATATCTTCAAAACAATTTATATTGTCAGTGAAAAGGCAATTTCATATAGACAGAAGTATAAGGGGGTCAACCAGACTTTATTACGATGTAACAGAATTTATGGATAAGCACTTCT